CTCCCTTCCCACATCACACGCATGCGCAGTGACGAGAAGAACAGAGCCTCGTGTTAGCTGACGGTCTAATGTAGTGTTGTCACGATGTTTTCGAAGCAGGAACAACGGAGTTGGATAAAGACTGAATGTGCCAGAGGCTGTACAGCACGACAGTGTCATCAAGGTCTTCAAGAGGCTCGCGGGGAATCTGCATTGCCTTACAGAACAGTGGCAACTTGGGTAAAAGCCTTCAATGAGGGACGCCCAAATGTGGCAGACATGCGTCGGCCAGGTCGTCCTAGTGTCAGTAAAGAAGAAGTGTACGCTCTTTCCGCGATACTGTAGAGTGATCGACGCCATACGATTCGTGAGCTGGCCCGAGAGACAGGATTAGCGCATATGACTGTGCTTCACATTCTGAAGGAACGCCTTGGCATGAGAAAAATTGCATCACGACGGGTTCCGCATGATTTGACGGAGATGCAGAAATGGCTACGATACGACGCTGCTCGTAAGCACTTGGAGCGCAATGATCGCGAAGGGGAGGCTTTCTTACGCCGTATCATTACCCTGGATGAGACATGAGCCAAATCGTACGAGCCAAAATGAAACGCCGATCGAACGAATGGGGTCATTACGGGTCACCACGAAAATCAAAAGTTCGTCAAAACCCCAGCAATGTGAAAGTTATGGTGATTCTCGTGTACGACTGTGATGGTATTATCCTAATGCATACCGTTCCCCGACAGCAGACCGTCAATTCGCAGTATTACTGTTCATTTTTGGAACACAATCAGCTTTGAGAAAGAAGCGGCGACACTTTCTGCAGAACCCACCAATCATTTTGCAGGATAATGCTCGGCCGCATACAACGCAAGCTGTGGCTGGGAATTGCTGTACCATCCACCATATTCCCCGGACTTAAGCCCTTGTGACTTCGACTTGATTCCTAAGATGAAGGAACCAGTTCGTGGCATTCGCTTCAGAACTGTTCCAGAGATTCTTCAGGCAGTAGACCCCTCCATTCGAACTATCAACACAACAGGCGCTGCTAAAGGGTATCCTACGACTTCCACATCGCTGGCAACGGGTTGTACACAATGCTGGTGACTACACTGAAGGAAAGTAAAACTTCGAAACATGCATCTATTTTGTATCAATTGTAAATAAATAGTTACCACTATTAAAGTTCCAACCTTCGTAATTAATACGTATTACGATCTTCTGTTATATGACACCAGATAGTTTCGTACGTAGCTTCCTGTGCTTCAGAAACTTCTGGTGCCCTCGTCTTCAGGCCCGAAGAGCGAAGGTCGAAGCTAAAAGTTCATCGGATACGTGGGTGTGTGCCTACCAGACGACACGCCGTTAGTTTCGAGAAGAAAATAACCCGCATCACCGTGAGACCTCATGTTTCACGGTGATGATCCTTCGGCTTCCATAAAACTAATGGAAAATGTTTGAAGTGACCGAGCAACTCTGCTCCATAACTTTAGTCATTTACATCCGTTACACATTTCTCTGTTTTTTTTTCTTTCCCATTGCTCCCGCTTTGGAGCATAAGGCTGATCTCTCAGTTTCATGATCATTTTACAGACGTTATGAGTCCTTGGACGGGTGACCAGCTCGTCGCAAGGCTTCTATCTAAACACAGGACAACACAAACAGAATAAACGCATACACACACAAAACATCGATACCTTAGACCGCTCGGCTGCCGTGACCGGCTCATGTGCCTTTAGGGTTCACTAAATTACTCTGAAGAGAATTTTTTTAATTTTATATTATAAATATTTCTTTTTTGGTGAAGCTAAGATATCTTAAGACAAAAGTCACGTACCGTTCTGAACTGCGTATCCTTCCCAGTACGAGAAACGAAGCTAATCTTCAGTGCAACTCGTTACAGTTCGATATTCTCTTACCTTATATAATATCTGACTAAGTTAAATATTAACTAGTTGTTTGTCCATTATTGACATTTAAGTTTCAAATTTTAAGATTCACTTTAACCGAAAAGTTGGATAACCTTCCTTATGGTATGAAATGGATGCCGAGTAGCTTTATGTATGTATTATGTTTACTTAGATTTAGTATTTATGACTTTTACTTAGAGTTATGTTAGAAATAATGAGTGTTACATCGAAACGCTTTGACATGAGCACACAGTTGATAATAATTACACGAAAGTGATTAATTTACTTCATATCAGACGTTTATAGTACATTACAAAACTCATAAAGAACAGGATCCCGTTACATCCGGCTGTCTTTATTCATCAGAAGAATGAGCTTAAAAATTACGTCAATTCGAATCTAATAACACTGCTTACAGTTCGCTGGAAATCCCGTTGAGTTTAACAGTGTAGCTGTTTGGTTCTCTTCGTACTGCAATAAATCTCCTCTAGACACTTCCAAATTTTCTCAGAAATTAAGCAAATATGTTATTGCTATATATGCTAAGTGTGTCACACGTACGTGAGGTATGACTAATCTTTGAACAAATACATAAATTATGTGTACTACAGCGCTATGTTTGTGCTAGACCACTATACTAACATTACATAACACTTTTGTAAGTATAGTCCTTAATATTCATCACGAGGTCTTTAAAGGAAAATGGTAAATATTTCAGTCGATATTCATTCTTCTTTCTTAACTTGTGGAAGGTGCAAAGCAGGAACATGGAAAACTTAAATGTAAGAACAGTAAAGTGTACGAGTTTCAGTTATGTCAGTAAATGTTATATCTTTTCCTTTATTTATTATGTGTCAAAATAAATAAATTCTTAAGTTTTCATTTGGCCAGTGAAGTCACAGACAGGTCACAGTGAGCGAGTTCCCTGCCTATATGCCTGTCGAGTGTAATTAATGCGCGTAGGTGCTGGTTATTTGTAATCTGTCTATAGTAACCGGCAGCAGATCTAGTCAAAGTTAGGATGCTTCCTCGAACATTATAGAGTATGTCTGAATGTTCTAACTGGAATGTTAAAAAGTCTCCCTTAATAATATTTATATTTCATGTAAATAAATGCGAACAAAATATTTTGATAATAATCAATTATTTATTGCAAAGATATGTCGTTACCTTCCTTCGTAGTCTTCTGGCAACCGCCGAGGCGCGTGTTATGCCGCATTGGTAACGCGACGCCATGTAACCCATGGATCCTTATTAGTGTTTCAAGGGAAACTGTCTCCATCTCTGGGTAGAAAATTGAAGCAGTCAGCTTCTTCAGAATATAGGTCACGATCTAACAGACTACACGGCGTTACACCTCAGACCACTAATAGTCGCGGCCGGGGCAGCGCGCGGTGGCAATGTCTTGTCTCACGCCTAGACGCGTGTTGTACGCTGCAACTTAACAAGAGTGTAATTGCACGCACCAGTTGAATCGCTGGAAAAAGTCGTTTATAAAGTTACGACCTGTGCAATATCAGACAAAGAACGTAACGGTAAGGTCTATCTTATAGTTTCAGTTTGGAAATTAAGATAATTAGCGGAATTTCACTTGTCAAATGCGAATCAATATTACTGAAAAAAAAATTGACGAGTAGTGAGTTCGCTACGTAATTTCATCTTTACAGTCTGTACAGTACGGCTATTCTTTCAAGTATGTAGAACTTGCAGATCGACGTTCCACTCAATGAAAACAATGTAGTTTAATATTTATTAGTTAACACGAATTGCCTTAGGCTTACCACGGCAGAAAAATAGTCCTTACGAGCATGTTAACAGTTTTCTCCGGTGCTGAAGCAGAGTGTACCACAGCCCTAAAATGAAGTAAATAGCAACTTATGTTCGAATTAATCGGACACTGTTATGTTTTAAAGTAAGAGTAAATCAGTATTGTATAGGTCCTGTAGTTCAGCAGAGGGAACTTTTCACTTATTTTTAACTACGTCACTGGATTATCAGTTTCATGCTCCGACCGCTCCAACCTCGAGGAGAGAGCCCCGCAACACCTGTTACACGCGAGCTTGGGAAAGCTCGGGATCCCGTGACGTGGTGGCTAATGGAATTGTTACACTCGTCACTGACATGAAGTCCCCTATGAGACTGGTGGTTGCTGTAGTTGTTATGGACCATAGTGTATGTGAGTTCTTGTTAACATTTTCTTTGCTTGATGTCCGTAATATTTAAATAGGAACGGAGAGTTTATTTCGTTTCACAGCTCGAAGTATTCGCTGAAACTGAATTCATTTTAACTCGCTTTTGATCAAAATGGAGTACACGTTTGAATTTGTAGGCTCCTTCCCCCGTCATATAAGATACTGAAATGATTGTCTCCGTTATCAGTGACTGACGTGATAATTACATTCTTACCTGATGATGACAGTCGCAGTCTCCAAAATGCCGGATTCGAGCCAAGGAAAATAATTGACAGAGAAGAGTTTATTGACTCTGTCTTATCCATTAAAATAGCAGGAATAAAAACACGTTTAAATATGAAGTATAAAGAGAAGAATTCTACAGGCGTACTTATACAGTACTTTTAACGTAATATGTTTGACTATAGACGGGATTTCGATTGCTACTTACACGTCGTATCTACAAATAACTGTAACAATATCGCTATTCCCACATTTTACAGTTCAGTAGAGCACACAGTCTAGTGTTCTTAGTCTGTTAATAGACGTTTCCTGGCAGCGGCTCCAACAATGGCTATTCGTTTGCCTCCGGCTCAAGTTCACTCTCCACAGATTCCTTTACAGAACTGACTCTCAACTTGCTTTGTACCTTGCTTATAACATCTCTGCACAGACAGCATAGTAAACATAGCTCTTCTATTGTTTCGTGCTTGTATGTTGCAGGCGTCACCTAGCAACAGCAGCTGTTTACAGAGTCAACGCTTAGTAAGGAGTTTATACACCACAATATATTCTTTTGAAACAAAATTAATCCCAGTTTCTTATATTCTAACAATTTCCGTATCGAGTTAATTAATTAAGTAACTTTTCAATAGGACTTGTTTTCAGTTTTCTCAATAATTTTATTCGTAATTTATTGAAGAACATAGCCTAATGTAGTTAGTTTAATGAGAATCTGTAAAATTCCTAAGATTCCATGTTTGTGCCCTGAGTTATCCGCGAGCCACGACTCTGTAATTGAATATACTCCCAATTATAGCTTGTTATTTATGCCTCTCAATATCATGTTTGGTATCACAAACTAAGTTTGATCTTTTATTCCTTGTTGACAGGAAAGTACTTTTTTTCCCTGTGTTCTTAATAATGATTGAGTATATCACAATTTCAGTTAATACGACTACACTTCGAAAGTCATTAGAAACTTTTATTTTTGACAGCGTAATATAAATGCAATGTCGACACAGATAATTTTGGTAGCGTTCATGTAACCTTCTATCTTAAGCTTGTAGTAAGCATTGCTGATGGGGAAGTATTTCATTGCGTCTGCATCAATCACGATGTTTTCAATCGGATATACTTTCTGAAAATAAATTCATGCCAGGTAAGTAATAATTATTTAATATAGACATACTTGAAAGTAACACACAAGAAAAATCTCAAGTAACTTTATAAGAAATTGGTGTCTTAATCCTGAAGTAGGAAGTACAAATATTATATTTTTGGACATTACTATCGTCTTGTCTTTATCTGAAAGTCGTCCTGTTTATTTTTCGAAACACAACGTTTCGGAGACTGGATTCTGTCTCCGTCTTCAGGTAAAACCTACACAGTTGAGCTAACCCTGTCTCTGGTCAGGTCCGGAGACAGAAGACGGAGACAGAATCCAGTCTCCGAAATGTTGTCTTTCGAAAAAGAAATAGGACGGATTTCAGATAGACAAGACGGTGGATAATGTTCAAAAATATAATATTCTTACTAATGTGCCATCATTACAAACTTTTAGATGTTATGAAGTAGAAATTAATATAAATTTATAAGGAAAACATACCTGATTTCTTGATTTAAAACCTACCTTATTTGGTGGTAACGACCCTCATATTCGCCACGAAACTCGAGAGTCATACCAGGAAATAAAGCATGTAATGAAGTTAGGCAGTTTTGCGACATTAGTACAAAATGTTTGAATTCAGACGTCTGAATAAGTGCAAAGAAATAAATTAGTCCCTATGTAACTATGCGAAAATAAACGAAAAGAACAATGAGAATGTTATCAATTATTCGTCTGAGAACTGCACCACGAAGTGTATGCGACTATATGGCTGTCAGACGTTTATTAAGTGTCCCCCATGTATGTTACAGATCACAGTTCAAATACATGATGTTTTAATTTCGAGGGGCGGTGTGGAACTTGAGTCCACTTGGTACGTCGGCCACTGATTTGGCCTATTGTACCAGCCCCGGATGTTAAATGACTGTGGAGCATTCGGTGGAATGAGAAATTGTAAGGGAGACTAAAGTACTCGGAGAAAGCATGCTCCAGTGTCACTTTGTCCACCACAAATCCCACATGATCTGACCTGAGGCCTAACTCAGGCCACCGCAGCAAGAAGCCGGCGACTAATCCTCTGAGCTGTAGCGCTGCCTGAACACATGAGCACTTTGCAGTTACATTTTGAAACAGGCCTCTTTAATCTTACTGTCAACCTGAGGCGGTACGTTCAGTCTTACGCGAAGAAACAGAAACACGTAGATTACGGGATCAATTTCTTTCAGGGGAGGAATCTTTTTTGCACAAAACTGAAGCTTTCGGACTGCCTCTACCTTTATTTTTTTTTTAAATTCGCTTAGTGGGAGGTTGAGTCCAACTGGGTCCACTCGGCACGGCGGCCACTGATTGGCCTATTGTAGCCTGTCCCGGGTGATTATGATGCTGGAGAATTTGGTGGAATGAGGATTGGCAGGGGAAACTGAAGTACTCGGAGAAAACCTGCTCCAGCGCCACTTTGTCCACCACAAATCCCACTTGACCAGACCCGGGCTCGAACACGGGGTGCCAGCGACTAACCGCTTGAGCTATGGCGCGGCCTGCCTCTACCTTAATCATGCTGACTCACAATTTAGCTTATATTTTCTCGGAATATTTGCTTTTCATGTACCTAAGCACGCTCGAAACTATTTGACGTTTCTGAGTAAGGCTAAGTTGCATGCTTTACAAAACCAGCATTAACCATTAGCTTGTGACCAGTTTTACAAGATTCTCTGGTATGTTGATCGTGTCAATTCATCTTCAGTTCATTTCATCTAGAGAAACAGATCTTAAACCTCCCCCCCCCCAAACACACATACATGCGGCCCTTGCATTCGTGTATCTAAAGGACTGCAGACATGGATATACATAGTATGCGTACATACACACAGGCCTACAAACATACACACGCGTGGATATGTGAATTGAATACTGATGGTTTCTTACCGGCTGTAGTGGACATCTTGTATCTATATGCGTATCTTCCACAAATCCTGACCAGACTTGATTTTTCTGTGGCAGTTTTTGGCAGATATGATTGACGTCAAACTTGAAGAAGTCCTGACATGATTTGGAATTGTCTTTGGATTTGCATTTATGCAGCTTGAACTTCAGCTGTATCAGAAAAAAAAAGCGAAATAGTAATTTCTATATTACAGTGGCGGACCATCAGAACTTACACATCCGTATACTATATATATGCTAATATTGTCAAATAAATATGTATGTTAAACTTGCCCACAGAAGGGCTCATGATATAAAATTAGTATCGTATTATATGTAAAGCAGGCCAGGGCCGAAATAATTACAAGAGGAGTATAATGTAATGCATATGTAGTTTAGTAAGTTGTTAGGCTTAATAGTAACAAAATGAATTGTGAAGGTATTCCTATTTTTTGTTGAAATTTGAGCACTGCAAAACCATTGCAAAATGCAGAAGTTGTAGCGAAAAATATTTGACCAATCTCCACCAGTAACAACAGTCATGGATTGGGCCAATTAGCTTGCCTGTTCCAGCCTCATATGTTCATGAGACTCTTCAGGGCTCTTTCCCGGTTCCTTGGGCCATGACATTTGTCATTTTAGTATCGTTTTGGAAGTCTCTTCATTGGTTTTATGGCGACATATAAAATATAATTTGTTTTATGTTTCAAAATTACACACATTTTTATTTAAGTTTTGATTTGTTTTAATACGTCTTTGTTCCTTTTATTTTCCACCCAAATTGGTTTCGTGATGCCTCTTATAGATTTCGGTTCAGCAGCTTTTGTCCTTTGTTTTTATTTTCCAGCGTTCACTCCCACTTAAAGTGCCGAGTAAAACCACGGTGTTATAAATTTCTGTTCAAGTTTGTTTCCCCGACCTTTCGTGGCTTAACATCTGTATTGATGAAGCCTGTTGCTTTTACGATATCAACAAGTTAATTTCTATATCCTTTTCCCTTCATATGACAGAGCCCCCAAGGTAATTTCTGAATATATTGACTTTTTGTATGAGTTTATTGTTTATCAGCGTTTAAGTTCTGTGGCTGTCAGCCGTCAAATAGTATTGTGGTTTTTCCATTTAAATTTCCATTCATTTCTTCTCTTTCAATTTTTTTTTCAGTTTGTTAGCAGATATCTATTATTTGTACTGAAGACTGACGTTACAACATGGTCATATGCAAAGAGCAGTGTATTTAGATAACACATTCCCTAAAATTTATATTTATTTTATTTCCAATCTGCGTGTTATTTAATTTAATTTCAAGGAAATAGCGGCTCGGGTCTAGAAAACCGAAATTAAAGACCTTGGGGATTCGTTGCGCTGACCACGCGACACCCTCTACCCCGCTAAATTTGGCATTAACTTCGCCGAAAACGGCGGTCGCTCGGTCGGTATAGTTCGCTTGCGGACTACAGGCCACGGAGTTTTTTGTTTGTTTGTGTTATTTAATTGAAGTATATATTAAATGCTGACAGTGGTAGTCATTGTCCTTTACGTACGCCATGATCAGTGGATGTGAATGCAGATAATATAAATTACATTCAATTCTTGTTACCTTTACATATAATTATTGTTACTTTAGTAAACTGTATATGTATCTCTTAATACGTAAAATAAATTGGGTTCCATTATGATATGGCGTGGATACCATCTGCATGTAGGCCTGTGGATGCATTAGATCTTGCATTAAATTCTTTAAACCTTGAAATTTCTCAATACGTGTATGTGCAATCTTTGTGTAAACATTTTCTTGTTGCTTGTTCTGCGTTATAGTAAATGTATGAATATTAGTTCTGTGTTTCCTCTTTGCAATTATGAATAAATAAGGGGTTGAATGCTGTTGACAATTATTAAAACAAATGTCTACGTATCTACATATCGCTTAATATAATTTTATCATCATGAGGGAATATTTTAATCCGCGGCAGCCTTCGGAAGATTTATTTTCGTTTAGGGGAATAAGTTAGTTAATGAAAACAGTTTAATCTAACAATATGTATAGAATTATAAAATTAATTTTAAAAGTTTAGAGTTCAATATTTCTTAAAAATATGTTATTTACTAAGGGAATTGCATACGTAGGTCCCGTAAGGGCAGAATACAACTATTTGAATAGGTCCAGATGTTGTATTTACCTTCCAAGGCTCACCAACAGGTTCTAAAAATTTAATTTTTCCACTGAATGCGCATTGATTTTTGTTTATTTGGAGAACGAAAATTTCATTGAAGGAAACCGCCATGTTAGGTTCTTCTGGACACTGTTGGATAAAGTCAACTGATATATCCTTCTTGCACTGAAAATGAGAAAGATTTCTTGTTGTTATTTCTGCATTAAGAGACTGTATAAGTCTCGACGCTGGCAAAGTCGTTATTTTCAAATTTAAGACCATGTATTTACATACATAATAACTGCCAACATTATGTTTATCATAAAGAGTTGTTCAGTGCATGTGTAGACCAAGTAGAAAGTATTGAGGATTCTTTGTTAAACATGAATCATTAGGGATTACAGTACACATTTCATATAAAACCATTATTTACACCCTATATTACTACATAAGTACATTTGAAGGTGAAGATATAGTTTGCCATGTAAGAGTTCGTGGAGGCCCATAGGATTGTGAGACGTCGAGGCTCCCACATTTTCAAGACAGTAGGCGGTGATGGTGAAATTTTCAGCCTTACGCGCCGGTCGTCCTTTACCCCCAGGAAGATTCCTAGCACTCATTTTTGTTAGAGGCTGAGTCGACCGCAGGATCATAGTGCGGCTGGAAAGATTAGGTCAGTCGAAGAATTCAATGATCTTATCGGGAATTGAACCCGCTACCTTCTGGTTTGTGGCAAACTGCATCAACCTACTACGCTACCGCGTACTCCATAAGTACATTTAATATATCCTAAGATTTATAGTTAAGCGCTGTACACGTCATATTTCATTATCTAGGAAGGTATACGTTGCCTTATATTTCGAAGGTATTAAAACTCCTCAAAATTTTTTGAACTTAAAGATGAAGTATTGTACTAGTGTACATTAAAATGAATTTGAACTTTCCGAGAGTATTAGGGAACTTAGCTGAGTGTGGAATTCTTGTGTGATTTATTTCAGTGTAACATCTTTTAAGGGAAATGGGGTAGCTTAGTCTGTATAGCGACTGGTTACGGGCTAGACGACGAAGGGGTCAGAGTTCGGTTCCCGGTAGGATCAAGAATTTTCTTTTTCCAAATCGTTCAGGGCTCTGGGGTCCACCCAACGCCCTATCCAATGGTTACCAGGGGCTCTTTCCCCACGGGTAAAGCTGCAGTGGCCTGAAGCTGACCACTCCTCTCCAGCTGGTGCTTCGTGATATAGTGCTTAATTCTTTGAGCACAGAGACAACTTTGCCATCTTCTAAGAGCATACCTATCTCCTTCGTTAGTCGGTATGTAGCAGTCCCGGCAACTATGGCCTGTGTAAAATAGAGACTACCTATTATGTAAAAACTTGCGGTATATTGTAAGATTTGAGGTTTTCACGGCGGTGACTATGAAGGAAGCAGTATTCTAGGATGTGGCGCCGTGTATATATTGTGTTAACCGACGTTTCGGAGGAACGTATCGCCTCCATCTTCAGGGTAGAACAAGAAGAAATCGCAAGCGAACCAGCGTAAGCAGGTGCAACAGTCGGTTAACACAATACCTACACGGCGCCACATCCCAAAGGACTGCTTCCTTCATTGCGGTATATTCATCATGTTTTATCATTTTCTATAGATTTTAACCGTGATCAACACAACCCATTTTTTTTCTTTTTTTATCTAAATTAAACGCGTATGACCAGTCCTCATAAATGCAATTACCCTATCATTAATTATGTAGCCCGATTTCAAAGTAGTATTTTACATGAGAATAATGCATATAGGTCGCATATTGTTTATTATAACATGGATATTAAGTTGCGTGCTTGTGTTCCTCTGTTAGTCCGGACTCATCTGTGTACACTTAAACTGAAGGTGCTGTAAAACGCAAGCTATTCTGGAAAGCTTAGGCTGTTGTGATGTTTGCGTAAGGATGTACGAGTATTGTGTATGTTCTATTTGGTCAAGTGAAATGTTAAATTACTATAATATTCTTCACATTTCTATTGTTTGATAAAATATCCTAATTTTTTATGAAGAAGTATTATTGGAGTGCGTTTATAATGTTCATATTCCAACACTTCATTTTACAATGGAATTTTCTTCACATTTCATTCAATTTTCTGTATGTATAAACATTATTTGTATTATGCCGTGAAAATCTGAGTATTTCATACATTTTTCTCCCACTACTGGTATATGCTTTGTACTTAATTTTCAGAGTTCCATCTGTTTCACCGTTACAGGATCTGTAACGGTAGATGCATATTCACTTATATGGACCTTTGTACGTGTTTTGATATTCATTGTTACAGAATCACACGTTATTCTTTTTTATTTCTTTGATATATTTCTGAGTTTCTTGCCTTGCAAGTGACTAAAGATTAGTAAACCGATTATCTTATATACATTTTTGTACATTATTAATATATACAAAATCTTCTACTGTTATTATACTGCTTTATATCTATATATTTTCTTTTTACAGAATTAAATGTGTACGAGTAAATATTAATAATATTATGACGTTAAAAGTTCGTATTTAAGTATAATTCATTATCCTTATTATTAAAGCGCCCTTCAATAATGGAACAATATATTTTTAAAATATAAAAGACATCTAGAATATGTTTCTCACTAAAAATGTAACTTTAATATTTTATGATGTTAAAATCATTAAATTGTCATTAAGACACTAAAAGTAAAACTTATACATTAAAAGTGATTATCAGATTACTGAAATGTCTCTATTTTTACATATGTTTTTTCAGTTTACAACATGTTTCGGCCGCACATGGACCATCACTTTTAATCTATAAGTTATACATTTAGTGTGTTAATGACATTTTAATGATATTAACATTATGAAGTATTTAAGTTATGTTTTTAATGAGCAACATATTCTAGATGTCGTTTAAAGTTTAAAAATATATTCTTGTATTATTGACGTGTAATTTAATAATACGGATAATACCTCATGCAACGGGATGCTGAAATATAATAAATACATGTATAATTCATGACCATATTTAACGGTATTTTTTCTGTTCAGGTACAGTATATTCAAAGAAGTGGAATTGTGATAACGAATTAGAATAACGTTCTTTAAATATTTTAATTTCGTGATTATAGTAATCATGCCACAGGCCTCATGGCCTAATACTGAGTAAGACGTTGATCATAGTTAATTTCTTTTTAGTTCATAACCATAATTAAATATTTAAAGAGCAGGCCTACTTATTCTGTCTGTACACTGGTTCACACGTGGACCGCAAAACCGAAGAAACGGTTGATATTGGCCTGTTCACTGAATGACATTAGTCCATTATGACTCGTGTTTGGAGCAAGTTAAATTGTCCCTGTGCTTAATTAATTAATTAAGCACTATGCCACGATGACATATGGGGCAGTGGAGATATAGTCCCACCGTTTTTGACCTCGGAACTAGATGGAAGTGATTGGTCACCTTGATGACGCGGCCGCTTGACCCCCAGGCAAAGAACTCCAGGGATATCATCGGACATGAACCTGAGTGGGCCCCACAGCCGGTCTGGACATTGTGGAGTAGAGCAAATTCTCTTGAGGTTGCCAGAAAACGAACCCTGACCGTCTGGTCTGCAGCCCATCGCTATGGTAATATATCTATCCCAGCTCATTGAACAGTACGTACATGATCTCAAGACGAATTAGGGGAGCGAGAGCGAGAGCTGTGCTCCTGCCAGAGAACAGTTCAGTTGTATGCTCCACTTATTCCTCATGCACGTTATTTGCTATTTTGCCTTCCTGGTCTGGTATTATAGGGAACAAGTTAGCAGTAGAGGTACTACACGGAATCACTAACTTGTTTTACGGTACAGATGCCACACTGCACAGAACACTAAAATACAGGTACACTAGTTTTCTTTGTTCTTCGTTCAATATATACGTGTTGAAAAATGCTCCAAATAAAGTAGCAGACATGTGCGCATCGTACAGCGAAACTATTATACTGTACAATCACACGTTTATTGAGAACTTCGGTACTTTTAAAGCAGATCTAAGTAAAGTTTATGGTGAACAGGTGCACAAAATCTTGTAAGACAATTTAGAATATAGACCTCCATTTCAAATTTAGTCTGAACTCATCAAATATACGGATAAACGAAAAAAAAAATAACTAAGAGAAGTTATAATCTCAGTTATGTCTTCTGTTTATGGAAACAATTCTGAAATTTCGCTACACATTTATTCAGATCAGAAATGAATGAAGTACATACCCCTATCAGTCCCCCTAAATTCAGACCAACACTTGTTTCTGTCGTTAATACGAAGGTAATGAGTAAAACCAAGAACATGTTGAGCTTGGCGGCAGCAACTCTAGACCTGAAATTCTTCTCATGTGAATTTGTCGCTGCTTCAGTTTCCATTTTATAAGCCAGGGGTGTTCTATCAGATGACAACTTTTATAAATTGTACATTGTAAATGAAGTCAGTTACTATAGCTGTTTGTAATGCATCCGGCCCTAGAATTTTGTATGCCGCCATTAATGCCTCCTCCACTTCCTGGTACTGTATTGTTGGATCATGTGACATTTCATTCACATTTCCGGTTCTTATAGTCGGATGACACCAATTCCGTGACGGCAGATGACAGAAACCCTGTGAAAATACGGCAATGAACTTTCTAGTTCTATAAAAGATGTGGTTTGGGCCAGCCAAGCGACTGTTAGCTTTTCAAGAAATACCCACTTCCATGGAGTTAGTTATTTCTGCAGTCAGAATGATAGTAACCATAATATCTTGAGTTGCTTGCGCTTCGTTTCAAATGCCTGTCAGCTTATCACTCTCATGACACCCACCTCGTGATAAAACGCGTATAATCAGCATTTCCGCTATCAGACGCATAACGAGTACAGGAAGTCGTGTTAACTTAGATTTCATCAGCAGCTTAGCGAGTTTCATGCTGTTTTATTTTGTGCAAAAATATGGTAGTTGTCAAGTCACAATTCACACATGGTGTCAGCATTTCACTCCATTTTTTTTTCCTTGGCACTACAGCTTCAGTGGGCCTAGGCCTACCTCCATGAACTTCTCCGTTCACTTCGGTTTTTCTAGATCTTACACATTCGGTAGGACTCCTTGGGCGGGTGATCAGCTCGTCGCAAAGCCTCTACCCTCAATGCCCTGAGTGGGATTCGAACCCACGATCCCGGTTTACAGTACATGCCTTAGACCGCTCGGCTACCGTGACCGGCTTTTCACTCCATTAGGACTTATTTTTATTCTTCTTTCCTAAAGTAGGCATCTACCAACTCCATATTGTTTGCGTGTCTGTACATACTCCCTCCATTATGTTTTGAATGCCTGTAGCAATCTCTATGAAACTTGGTCTGTATATTGTCACGGGTATCAGTGACTATAGACGTGGTTCGGATTAGTAATTGAATTAATAGACCGCTTACAGGTCGTAACTACAAATAATTATAACACTCTAAGGATTACTGTAATTATAACATATAACTAACATCTTCAGCTTCTGCTTACATTAGCCGTTGCTAGGTAACAGATGCCAACAATGGCTACGCCTTTACAGTGGACGGTTCTGACTTTTACATGTACAATATATTTATATTTTACATGTTTTCACATGAATGTATATATACAATATATACAAGGCTTCTGTCAGTCCGGATTCAGTACAGCAGGTCATGCCCTGTCTTTAGTAGCTTCCGGCAGTGAATTCTAGTGGTCATTTTGCTTCATGAGATTTAAGGAAATTTTTATAATGGCCACTGTTTTCTCCTCCTCTAACTCAGAGCCGTTGAATTCTGTCACAAACTGCTGCATTACAGGTACTTCTCAACACACTCTTGTCTAGAGGCAAACTGTTTACATGAGGAGCCCCAACTGACTGACTTGTTGCTCACTGTTCGTTTTGGTGTAAGGGTACAGTTTCAATTGTAGCTGGATCTGCCACTGCTACCTCGTGTGTATGAGGCCTCTCGGACTCTTAACTCAAAAGTCAAAGTCAGAGTTACATTGCGACTGGCGGTCGGTCAGTCAGTCAGTCAGTCAGTCAGTCAGTCAGTCAGTCAATCTTGGTGTCGAGCTCAATCTGGGGCTCATTACCAGATACTTATTACGGTTTGACAATTTAGGTCTCGTTATTGTGGGGCGCCCTCTCTGAGGAGAGGACGGGTCTGTCTTTTGTCAGAGTCATTGTCTGTAGTAGTAAGTCATTTGTCATAATGTTTCTGAGTCTGAGTCTCATTTTACGACCGACCGTAACTGAACTACGCTGAATCGGCACGGACCACGCAGAGAAAACACAGCTCTGTAACCCAGACTACATAGAAAACAGCTCTCTACTGTTGTGTGCGTGTATTATTTAGCAACGGCTGTTTCGCTGGCTCAACAGTTTTCGTATGGAGTACATACGCCACAGTATCATGGCACCTAAGTCCATCTCATCGGCTTACTTCATAAAACACTTCCATCAGTCTGTGTGTCTGTATGTATATCCATCCTATTGTGGGAATGTGTTTACAGAGCCTTTGTCTAGCAACGAGAGGTGGGTAAACATACATGCACACAGACTGATGCGATGGGTTTGTGAAGTACGCCGTTGAGATTGTCTCAGATACCATGTTTCATAACGTTTGGTTTAGGCATTCAGAAGTTTTTGGGGGAAGGGGGTTAATACAAAAGCACACAGACAGCAAGGTGAGCTCATAAGCGTACTTTCATTTTTTTAAATAAGGAAAATGGGCTAAATAGTAAATGTAGTGTTAGATAGACCACTTTTGCATTTTATTTATATGGAAATGGCGTGAGAATGATATAACGAGCCGACAAACACAGTCTTGACTATGTAGACATTTCTTTCCTGGCAGTATAACTTAAGGCAGTGTGTGTCTAAGCTCTTCATTAGGTTGATTTATATCTGTAAAATCCTTACGAGGGTGTCAGGTCCTGAGATACTCATAATACCCGAAGTCCTACTGAGATATTCCGTGTGTTTACTTTTTCCAGAGAAATAGAGCAAAACATATTACGGTCATGTCAGTGTTGTGTTCAGCGTATCATTTATAATAGTCCCATGATTTATCATTGCTACTCCATAATCTCTAAATTTTTCATATCATCATGAAATATATGAGGAATCGAAGAGCCGAATGCCTAGCCGACTTGTCGAACGAAGTCGAAGCAGCTGTCAGGCAAGAACGCGAGAAATGTTGCCACTAGACGTCTCTTCGCTCAGCTGTGGCTACTGATTTGTCAGTTTCTCCGGGAGATGGCAGAGGAGGCCTTATCACAGCTGGGGCTATATAAATCCAATACAGTACTTCCTGCATCGCAGTAGCTTTCGACACTTGTTGCAGTGTCAACAATTTAAGTATTATTGTCACAGTAAAATTTGAATGAAAATTATTTCACTGCCAATGAGTATCATGTTAAATATTGGCGCATAATTACCCTCAAACTGACGATAAACACAAATATGATCTTTACATAGGGCGCTGAAATTGAAAGCATAATAAAGAGAGGGTGCATGTCCCCCCTTATGTTAGATATATTAAGCTATTCACACTTTCAAGATTGACTTTCTTCTAAATAATATATAAAATTTCGGTTCGTACTTCACAGGAAACACATTACATGTGCGCAGCAAAGACCAACCGGTTAATGCTATTTAGCGAAAAAATATCTGTTTACTGTGAAAACCATGCGAAACACACTTTCTGTGGGCAGAATGTAGAATTTAGTATGGTAAAGCAAATGTGGTATATATGGTAACCATTGGATTTGAAAGGGTTAATCGGATTCCGAAATAACATGGTGTTAATATTTTGAAAATTGTTAGGTGAACCATTCAGTATTTTCAGATCTAAGGTTCTCACGTCGGTGAAGATTGATATTTTCTGTCCTAAAGACGGAAGCAACATGTGTCTCTGAAACCTACCTAACTTTACGGTGTCACATCGAAAACGAGAGTAATTTTTATTTAGTTTCTATCAAAGTCGTTCCCTGTGTTACATGGAGATGACATAAAAATTTAACTCTTTCCACAGAAATGGCTTGTTACAGAAAAATATTTAGTCGGTCAAAATATAGATCTTTTCAAAGTCTGCAGTTTTTGCATTTAATTAAGTGCAAGAAATATGACTTACAGAATTATACAGTTATATTTTAGTTTGAGTTCTTTTAAAATAATGGTTTTTCACCTGCAATAAAATTGGTCGGCAAGCCAAGGTAGGCAAAGTTGCGAACTCATATGAGAAACTTGCTTAGAGTTTCCCAGAATTTGAGTATCTATACTTTTCCTCTCTTCGTTACTTATAAAACCTTTAATACTAAACTCCTGTTTGCTAACTGTATCTATGAATAACGAAGATAATCCACGAATCAGAGGCCACCTACAGGAACCGATAGCTTCTGAGACGGTCACTAAATTCTTTATCTATGAGATCCAGTGGTTCAGTGTTATTTTCACAATATTCCCGTCCCTCCAAATTCTCCCGAGTCAGTTGATTACGCTCCACAATCTCAGTTCTTATTTTTAAGATATATTTTAATAGTATAATCTTCGCATCGATGTATAGGTCTTCCCTTGAGGTTTTCTATTACAATTCTATTAGCAAGTCTCATCTACTCCATGTTCTATACGTATTCACTCCATGTTGTAATTACCATAAAACTGACTGATAAAAAGTTCATACTGTCACCCGCATGAGTGAGTATAGACGGGGTTTGGATCTGTAATCGGATTTATTGAATATTTACAGAACGTAACTACAGGTGCCTACAGCGCTGTCGCTAATTTACACGCTACAGTTCACTTCAGCATGCACTGTCCACTCAGTCTGCTATATCTTCACCGGTTGTTGCCTGGTAGTGGCTGCCAATGCCTTAACTTCCTCAGTTTCCGCGTCCACGTTCCTACTGGCCGGCGGCTGTCTCCAAACTGTCGACTCTCAACTCAACTCCACTTCACTAACTCACTCCCCTGCACTGCACTAACTGTCAAAGACAAAGTCACATTGAGACTGACGGTCAATCAGCCAGTCAGTCAGTTAGTCTTGGTGTCGAGTCCCATCTAGGGCTCATGACCAGATATGAATCAATGTTAAAGTCACATTTGGGAGTGACAGTCAGTCAATCAGTAAGTCTTGGTTATCCATTTGATTAATGACGGGTTATTTAATGACTCAGTTTCGCTGGATGTTATTGAGCGTCGACAAAACATTAAATATCAGAACATGCACTGCAAAATTTTTCCCTTCTCTACAGCATCCAGACCGACTCTGGAGTCCACCCAATCACCTATCCAGTAGGTACCGGGGCCTCTTTCCCCCGGTATAAAGTGGCAGGGGCGTGAAGCTGACTA